TATATATATATATATATATATATATATACATTAACAGACTGTTAACAGACTGTGTAATATGAATGTTGTCACAGTGATTGAAGGAGAGGTGCATCACGTCATGTGCGTCACCAATTAATCGAATGCCATTCCTTTTTCAGGATCAAAACTTCCACAAATATAATATTATAAACGGATTAAAATAAATAGCAAGCAGTTAAATGACTGCAGGTACATAAAGACAGATATTTCCACTGTTTTCTGCTGATAGATGGGCCTCTGAACTATCAGGAATGGCCTGCAGAGGACAGCAGAGAAGCATCTGCTGAATGCATAAATAAAAATGGAAAGTGTCTTACCTCAAAAATAGTTTCAAAGAACCGGTCCTAGGTTTCAGATGTAGATGTAGGTAAGCCACAGAAACCAGTGTTGTTTTCCTCAGATGTTTCAGGTATATGGTGGCTTCCGGTCTGGTGTGATGGAGGAGCACAAATATTGTATTTAGGAGCAATCTCTTAGTTGCTGTGTTCCCTGTACATGCATCTTTTCAGTGTTTCACTACAGCTGCTGGCTCTACTGGGACTGCAAGTCATAGCTCTTCAGATATTTGGGTTGATTGGGTTTGTCAACGATAAATGACAAATGTACTTTAGAGGCCTGTCTGAAATGGTTGGATGGAGAATCCAAAATGGTCATCTTCAGCAGAAAAGTGACTAACAAATAAGATTGCTCAATGGATTTTCCAGTGGAATCTGACGCAACTTTTTCAAAGTGTTGCTTTCACTTTTGATGACATATCTGATGACTTAATAACCACAAACAACCTGGATTTTATGTTTCTAAATGAAACATGGCTAGAATGTTGCTGCAGTGCAACAGTCCTCAATGAAACAGCCTCTCCTAACTTTACTGTCATGAGTGTTTGCAGGACTGTTAGGAGAGGTGGAGGTGTAGCTGCTCTATTTAAAGATGTCTATCAATGCAAGCGTCATTTAATCAGTACTTATCTTTTGAATATCTAGGGATTGTGCTGAAAGGTGCTCCACATATTCTGTTCATCATTATTTACAGGCCTCCAAAATACTCTCCAGCCTTTGTTGAAGAGTTCACAGAACTGTTATCAATGATTTCCTCAGAGTTTGACTGTTTTGCTATTGCAGGGGCTTTTAATATTCACATATATAATGCAGAAATCAAAACTACAAAAGAAATTATAACTGTTTTAAACACTTTTGACCTGATTCAGCATGTGCATGGACGCACACACAATCGTGGACACACACTCTAGATTTAATCATCAGTAGAGGTCTAAACATTTCATCCATTGTTATTAAGGACGTAGCACTATCTGATCACTTCTGTATTTTCTTTGATATATTGATCTCTGCTACCACTCAATCTAGATCTGTTTCTGTCAGAAAGAGATGCATTAACGAAAACACTAGTGTGCTATTTATGAAGGTTATATCTTTAACACCAAGCATTTCTGCAGACTCTGTTGATCTTCTCCTTGATTCCTTTAACTCAAAAGTTAAGAATGTTATTGATGACATTGCTCCTGTGAAAGTCAGCAAGAAGACTGGCAGACAGAAATCAGCTTGGAGAA